TATATACTGGTGGACATTACGATTTGTTCTTCATGAGAAATTCGAATCCGGGGTATTCGAAAATGGGGGCTGCAGAAGGTTCGAGCTCAGTGCAAGTCATGGATATGTGAGACACAATTGATTTTTGTTTGGTGCAGCGTCGTGAAGAACGGCACAATCGTTTGACACCACGAAAACGCCTTTTCTGGAAGGAGTGTTTTTGCGAAGTAGTTTGCGGGGCCACGCTTTCTGGTGTGTGTCAAAGATGCGGGCAGAGAAACATTTACAACACAGTATGCTTTAACCCCCCCCCCCCCCCCCCCACTTTTCCCCTTTTTTTTTACGTTGCTCCTCCAGAGGACACTTTTCTGGGTTAATAATTTTGTAATTTGGAGCCGCATTCTGTCGCCGCCAAGCGGCGTGAACGCAGGCAGGGGGTGGGTTAACGCGCTCCCGAATGATACACGCGCCGTCCAAACCGAAATTTAAGTTCCCACGCGCGTGCGCGTTGCCGACCAGCCAATCTGGCGTGAGTGTTGTTGCTAGGGGACCTATCACCTGCGCGGTAAAGATATCCTTCCAGTACCAAGTGAAACCGAAACTTCTTAGGCACGCGACACAGCAACATATGACACCGTCAACACGTCAACACAACAGCGACCGACTACACCCTCGGAAACTTCAGAGAAATAAACTGACGAAACAGACAAAACACCGAAACGGCTACCAGGCTATCAAATACCATTGCGATGGCCATTGACGAGGGGCGTCGAAATAATAAAGCCATTATTGTGACATTTTATGCAAATGACGTGATGAACGTCAAAATAAATTTTAATATATTTTGATGGTGATCATCGAGGTAGTCACTACCTATCCTATTTTAATCCTACATCAATTAAAAAAAACATTAATTTATGCGGCTGAACCCTTTGGATTGGGCGGCGGATTGCGCCACCTGGCGAAATCTTCAAACGGACGCCAGTGGCGCCATTTCTTCACCCGCGCGCGGCTTCGCGGTCACAACTTTCCCTCTTCTAAACACCGTTTCATCACAACTTGAAAACGGCGAAAACACCTGTCCCGGGAAGCCGATCAGTGCGCCGGAGCCATAGCACGTACGCTATACGTTACAGTGCATCGTTGAAATGCAGTCCTCGTGCAGAGAGCTGTAACGTGCATCGATCCGTCATTTTGACTGGCTCCGGAAGGCTGGAACGTTCAATCTTCGCTGAGTTATGGTACCTCCGCCCCACATTTCCTTATCTGGTCTCGCGCTCCGCGCCGTCTTCGGATGTCCTAAACTTGGCACCCTCCTTGCGGGGTGGGAGGAAGTTTCTTTCTGCGATCACGACTTCACGGTGCGTGTGCCGGTTGGCCCTGGCCGATGAACTCTCTGGTAGTCAACAATCCGTTATCTGCAGACGGTATCATAGTGGCTTGCTCTGCTTTTTATCTCGTAGACACGGGCAGGCGAGTATTTACCGGAGCTTCCGAATTTTTTTTTTCTTACTTCGAACGGGTGATAAACTTCTTGGCGTTGTTTACTCTCCTTGATTTGTTGGGTATTTCTCAAGGATAATCTTACAAGAAGTTTGCCGCTATAATTAAGTGGCCGCATGGAATACGCAGTACACCTGTTATATGCTCCAAACGTCTTCCTTAGTGCACGCTACACCTTGTGGCACTCGTGCCAAAGACCATTCTGCTTTGTTGAATCACTTGAACCACTGACACGAAAGATTTGTAGCATGCTGTAGTGATCATGACGGCTTGGTGACAAATGTATTTATAGCCTTTTTGCCACTGAAATCCCACGGCCACTCGAGTAGTGTATAGCTCGCCTTTTTAGTTGGTGGAACTAATTTAACGAAGCTAAGACAAAGGAGGGCTAACGACTAGGTTTCTAGCGCATAGTGGTATCTTGATGCGGTATGCAAGAGGGAACTTCCGAGAGTGTATGCAATACACTATATGAAAAAAAAAAAACTCGCATTTGATGATAGCGCGACCAAATTAATTGTTATCCCTTAATAAAAAAAAACATTTCATTTTTATTTTTGAGATTGTTCTTTCTTAAAAAAGCAGAGTTAATTTTCCGGTAACATGAATTACATAGTGTAGACGCACGGTCTTGCTGCGTCATGTTCTTCGGATCAAGGTTTGACGACAAACGAACCCACGCAAAATTAATCTCCCTGTTGTTAGTTGGCTGGTAACTATGTCCGATCGTCGTCTGCTGTGCGTCACCACAACCGTTTTTGCGTTGTTCGCTTGTCAGGGAGACGCAGTCGGAATCGGCAAGTAGGGTCGCACGCGTATCAAATTTATGAGACGAGTTTGAGTTGAAGGTCGACGGGCCCGAAAGTATGTAGCAACGGAAATTCAGCGTTGGTGTCAAGGGCCGCTCTGCATATCCATCAAACGGCCCGGGCATGCGTATCACGAGTAAGCACTGTATTTGAATAGAAGCACAGTTTTAAAATCTTTGTTGAACAAACGTTTCTCCTTTCTTTTTTTTTTTTTCTTTTCTTCTTACGAGGCTTTGCGATTATAGACAATCTGAAGTTTTGATGTTTTACATTCAAGAGCGATGCACTTAAATATAAATGCAGAAAAACGCTAATGACCCACCAAAAAAACACAAAAATAATATAAACAAAACAATAAGACAAAAAAAAAAAAGCCAACCGCTCTCGCTACACTAATTACTTCGGAGCCTGTAGCCAGAGATACAACCTTACTAAACTAACATAGGAACGTTACTCGTTAATAGTCCAGATGGTAACTAAGCGCGTTACTCAATGCCGATTCTCAAAAAGAACGCATTACTTTATCCTAAAAGTAAGGCATTCCATTTCTCCGTTCTTAAGGTAGATTTGCACAGCCCTTGAGGAAACACTGAGAAATGCAGAGACGGCATACACAGAGCATGTCATTGACGTCATTGGGTTTTGCTTACTTATTTATAACTACTGATAACCTATTTTTGGAGGCTGTGGCACAAGGGTTATGTGCATTCTTTCTTACTGCACCACAAGTTACACAAGAGGAAGTGCAATTAATTAAATGAAACGAATTCACAATAGAGACATGAAAATGTAACAAAATACAGTAATTTTACATGGTCAGCTGTTCATGGACAGCCCTTTAATGATTGCAAGAATAATGTGACAGAAGACGAACACCACGCCTTCAGAAGAGCTGTTCATCTCTTCAACCGTTCAAACAAGTGCTTGTTCATTTAATTGTTTTCAGGCTTCCAGTGCATAATTATTAGAACGGTATATGTATTCAGCAATTAGAGCCTCTCTATATTATCAGTACGTTCAGACGTCCTGCGCTTGCCTTTTCGCGCTGCTGGTGTTGGCTTTATTCAGTTCAGACGCAAACATAGGCCAAGGGGTGCAATGTGAAGTTTCGCGTTCTACACGTTCCCAGAGGTGTTGGAATTATTTGGGAGCGGAGGATGAGGCGTGCACCTCCCCTCTTGCTCCCCTCCCCTCTCCCCCCCCCCCCCCCCGCCCCCCTTTGTCATGTTTCGACGCCAAAGCACGTTCCTCCAAAGGATATAAAAATATGCCTCTACTAATTCTTATGCAGAAAGTACAAAAATTGCGCCATTCGTTCGCGTTGGTCACGTCATCATGTAGTACCAAAAGAATTTAAAATGACAGTGTTGAAACCAGCGCGTTGCTTGTAACGCTAGTCATACAGGTCTGGCTGCAACTCAAAAGATTCTTATTTGCACGTCCTCCTGTTATCTGGTTATTGCACTGGAAACACGCCCGCTATCCCTTTAGCGTCGGAAAACCCACTTGCAACTAGTTTTCACATAATCGAATCTTTGTTACGCATTCCGCTAGGGTGTTTATATTTATCGTTCTTGTTTTACGGTGTGGGTGTTTACAAAGTGAAACATTGAGCAGTCATACTTCAAACTTCTTTTTGGTAATTGTTGTCAACTTTGAGCAGGTTCACCCAGTCCGCCCGTTTAACGTCACACTGAACCGCGTCACCGACCTAAAGTTACCGATTGACGTTCAGTAATTTGACGTAGGCTGCGACTGCCTTTTTACCACGGTACAAATTTAGACCGTAACAAAGTTTTTAATTAGTTTAAGAGTTTCGACTAACGCATAGTAAGGAAAAACAAGAACTAAACTGCTCCTATCGTCTATTAGTGGTTGTTGAATGTGTGCAGACAATCCTGTCTCCCCCTTTCGGGCGATGCTCTGAAACATGAAAAATATCGTTCTGCTGCTCGTCCAATTCTGTCAAAACTGCGCCTTCAGAAAAACAAAACAATAACCAGACGGCTGTTGGGAAGATTTCCGGCGTGCTGCCCCGCTCACCACTTTGCACAAAGCCGACGCCGCAAATTCGGCGTCACTTTATTGAAAGAGAGGCTCAATTTTATTTTGACGACAAAATTAAGTATCTAATTTAGCTAGGAATCAATTTCTTTGTTTTCAAATCTGTGTTCTCCACCCCTTCGTCACGCTTCATTATTTTGGAATTTACTCATGCCTCTTTCATCGCGATACACTTGAGACGCCAATCGTTAGACGCCATTTAATCAAAAGGACAATTGGCATTTTGCTATGTTCCAATGATCCTCCACTATAATAGAAAAGAAGGGTGGACATCATTTTGCCACCAAGTCTGTATGAGGCTTGGGAGGTTTCCGGAAGACTGTTTTTTATAAACAAATCACAATCTTGATTAAAAGCATTACGCACCAACGGGCACGTTTAAGGGTGTCTATACATAACTTGAACTTCGGGGTGCCATTGGTGGTATTATTTTATTATGTTTCTGTTCAGCGGATTTGCACAAAAGTAGTGAACTAAAAAATGAAAGAAAAGGAGGTTAGGATAGGTTTAAAGATGCAGTGACATGTGGGGGAAATGAAACAGGCAATGGAGAGTGGAAATTGAATATAACAACAATCGTGATGAGACAAGTATTGCTTGCTTCTAACCGTGAATTGTTTTCTTTTTTTCTATTTTTTATTAAAGGTGTCCTGTCGTCCTTTTGCTCCTTCTTCTATCCCACCGCATCTCTCCGAGTGCCGCACAAGATGAGTCACTCAATGTGTGCCATCTCGTGGACCAACCCATGTACTGCCGCTGCGACACAGGCACCGAAGGCGAGCGGGCCACTGACGTGACGTGTTTTGTGGGAAGGCCGCTCACAGCCGAGCACGTCGTCTTCAAAGCGCTCGAGAGACAGACTGCGCTCAAATCCCTCTCCTTCACAAATTTTGGCAAGGAGTACAAGCTGAATTTTGTTCCTTCCAAGACCCTGCGGCACACCACCCTCCTGGAGAAGCTCAAGTTTGCGCAAGCCGAGTTGGGAGCCCTGAAGTCGCACTCCTTCTACAAGCTATCCAACCTCGTTGACCTTTCGATTGACTCAAATAACGTCACGGACCTTGAAAAAGAATCGATCGCCAACTTGCCGCGTCTTAAGAAGCTGGACCTTGCTGGCAACAGGCTCAAGATTCTACCGGCCCTTGCGCTCATCCAGCTTCCTTTGCTCGAAACTCTCTTGCTGGAGCGAAACCAGATCGAAACGATCGGGGACCTAGCTTTCGCCGACCTCGCCTCTTTGGCTGAGCTGGATCTGAGCGACAACCAGATTGAAGCGCTGACGGAACAGACGTTCAAGGGCCTTGGCCGATTGGTGCGTCTGGACATGTTTCGCAATAAGCTGAGGAGGCTGGACGCTCGGGTGTTTAGCGGGATGCCCAGGCTTGAAGATCTCGACCTCAAGTTCAACGACATCTCCGAGGTGGACCCCTTGGCCTTCGACGGCGTGTCCAACCTGAGGACTATCTACTTGTCGAATAACCGCCTCAGAATCCTTCCTGCCAATATGTTCCTGGGTGCGCCCGATCTGGTTACTGTGGACCTGGCTTTGAACGAGCTGATCACGTTGACGTGGCGAACCATTGAAGACTTGAGAAGTATCGATGAAGAGTCGTTCGACATGAGCCTTACTGGTGAGTCAATGCGTCGATTCAAGCGTATCATGCAGCGATTGAAGCAGGCACGTAGCCAGGGGGGAGGCCCATCGGGCACAGGCCTCCCCCGAAATCTTCCGTTTCGCTGGGACCTCCTCTCCCCCCTCCCCCTCATACAGCATTTTGTTATGGGCGCCCCCCCCCCCCCCCCCGCCCCCCCAAACCAAATCCTGGCTACGTGCTTGGATTGAAGCGATATTTATAGGTTTCGTAACGAAGCTGGACTCGGTAGTGTCCGTATATTGTCACTCACTATAACGCGTTCTGTATGCATCCGCTTAAATGTTTGGCATATCGCAACAGCCAAGATGGTTTCTAAAGGCTCAGTTTGATACAGGCACGTAGCCAGGGGGGGGGGGGGGGGCATGGGGACCCGCCCCCTCCCCCCCCCCCCCCCCCCGAAATCTTCCATTTTGCTGGGACTTCCTCTCCCCCCTCCCCGTTATACAGCATTTTGTCATAGGCGCCCCCGCCCCCCCCCCCCCCCCCTCCGAAACAAAAGCCTGGCTAGGTGCCTGGTTTGATGGTAGCGTTTGTCTATGGGTGACTACATTGCGGGGATCAAAGGCATATAGACACTGCCGCGCTTTACTACAATTTGGCTGTGTTACGAATGGTTACGCAGAGACACGACCGTGAGGAAAGACCCGTTCACAAAGAAGCGTCCAATTACGTTTGACTAGGTTGTGAGGACTAAAGATTCATTATCACAGTTGCATTTGACTCCATTAGAATAGGTTGTGAAGACTAAAAAGCTATCCCCAAAGTTGCGTTTGAGTACGTGTGACTACGTGACGACGAGGTACGACTACTAGCCCCCAGGATATGCGTACTATCGGGGAAAAATGAAATGCGAACAGAGGAGCGCGTGGCTCGCGGTACAGGCTGCGCCGCCTGGAAGTGAACCTAGGGGCCAGGGTGCGTGGCCTACTTCGATGTGTTCACGCCCCTCGATTGGCGCTCCCTCAGCTTCGGCAGTGCGCCTCTCAGTGCGCTGAAAGCTGTCATCGCTATCTTTGCCTGCTCGGCGAGTGCGGCGAGCTTCTTTGCACCGCACGCGCTGAACCAGCAAAGATAGTGGTGATAGCTTTCAGCGCACTAAGAGGCGCACTGCTGAAGCTTGGGGAGCGGCGTGAACACATTGAAGTAGGCCACACACCCTCGCTCCTAGGCTCACTTCCAGGCGGCGCAGCCTGTACCGCGAGCCACGCGCTCCTCTGTTCGCATTTCATTTTTCCCCGATAGTACGTGCTTTGTATATTGCTTTCCTAGCTGATCCTCGAATAGGTTGCCGTGCGGCATACAGCGCATGAATGTTCAGGCAGTCACTTCTCAACATAACGCTGCCAAACGCCACTGTATGTTTGGGCCTTAAAATAAATATGCGTAACGTGGATGTGTTTGGCTATCATGTGGAGTAGTCTCATACCCTTGTCTCACGGGCACTCAAAGAATCTTTAGAGCGAACTCTTTTAAAAAATCAGAAAACCCGATCACAATTTCGACTGTGCGCGTATCCTTCGTTCTGCACTGATTCACCGTTTTGTAAGAGAGATGGAACTCATGAAGCCATCTTAACTGTATACCCACCAAACAAGGGAATCGGTGGCATAATCTCGTCTACCCTTGTCACCCAAACTACGCGGCCATGGCAACACATGACACCGAACGCCCTTCTAACTGGATAAATAATAAAAAAAAGACCATGATATGTGGAGAGCACAAGAAAATAACCGCGCACCTCTGTCAACCATAGTTGGTGACAGGTTAATAATGCAGTAGAAGCTCCGTTTTCAGTACGCGCCCATCGCCTTCCGTCGAGCTTTGACTACGCGTGCGCCGAAGTGCTAACAGAGGTAGAAATGAAAGCTCGGGCTGGGAAGCGGAGCATCTATATTATCATCGACCGCACATAGCTTGCATTGACGTCTCACTAGCTGCTATTGTAGTGGCCTTGCTACAGTGCTTGTACCTTCTGTAGCAGCCATCTCACACCATCAAATACGTTTCCCGCAGCGAGTAAAAAGAGTATGAATGACGAATCGCTTCGTGCAGTGACGTCACGAGCAACGCATGTATAGCAACGAGCATTTAGTAATTTCCAAATTTTATCAACGGCCTTCACCAACTCGGAACATTTAAGGCGATAACCGCAACTAGAAGGAGGGCGAAGGAAGCGGCAAAAACAACATGCGGAGGCAAAAAAAAAAAAAAATTAGCTGAACGAAAGGGCAGTTTTTGAAACTAGTTCACTGAGTTGCCTTTATCTCTATTCGCTTTTACTTCGGCTAATACTGATATTCCATTTCAATTCACCCTATTTCCATCCTCTTAACTTTCACTGCCCTTCTTTAAGGTCTTTTTCCCTCCTTGAGCTTCCGGATTGAATCCCCGCTGATCAGTTTTGCGAATTAAATTTTTGTTGCTAGTCTAGTCGAAAGAAAAAGTCTGCATGTGTCGTTCCTGTCTTTCTTGTTAGTTGTTTTTTTTTTCTATCGACTGCCACAAAGAGCTTCTTACATTTAGCACCAGTGTCTTATGCTCCGTGTATGTCGCGGGTGCACTCCAGATTTCCCGAGAGGGGGTTCCCCCGCTTCGACTTGGCCTTCGTCATTAAGAGCTACGAATCTGTTCGCACGTCCGAGGCTGCGTCCTATTTGCGGGCCTCTGAGCCACGGGCTTCTTCTCGACGCGCTCTGGGAAGGGACGGGAGCTATTTATTCCCGTGACACCTTTCGCTGACGGGTTCAGCGAACATCTTGAAGGGTTTACTGGCTAAGTAAATCCGTTATTTATCTTTTATCTCGTCTGTGATTTCCTGTTCGTTCTCTCTTCACTGGAGGAAGATAACTCGGTGTTATCACACAAAACCACTCGGCAATGTTTCTGGCTGTTTTTAAATGTCGAAACGCGTCTACGTTTTTGAAAGCGCGTTCGTGTTCCCCTATCTTAAAACATCGAATAAAATCAAACGTGTTTATTTTTTCTTCCATATCAAGCTACATATTTCAGTGCGATAAGAAATACATAAAAAGTTCAGTCGCGGACAATTTATATTCCTTAAAAGATAATACAGACCGAACAGAACCTCTTGGATGTTTGTATCCTCACTTGGGAGGGTTTGTGAGTTCATTTCAATTGTAATGTTAGTGTCCTAAAACATTCGCCCCCATACTTTGTAATGTTTTTTTTTTCTAACACACAATTTGGTTTTTACATTTCGAATATAATGTGTTGAGTATATATTTATTTATTTCATAATACTACATTATAAAGTCGGAGACATGGTGGGAGTGGAGAAAGAAAACAAAACAATACACTTGTCCAACATAGGACAGTGCTTATAAATACAATGAAAACACAGAAGGGCTTAAAGCGCAGAAAATTGACCACGAAATTACCGTTAAAAGGGCGCCAAAAGACCAACTCAAAATAACAAAAATCATGAAACACATCCACAGCTATCGAACAAAGTCTCTAGTGCTAATTTAAATTAAATTAAATTAAATTAACTATTTTTTTCTGGTAACGTATTTTATTCACGGACGGTTCTTGGAAAATATGAATACTTTAAAGCGTGTCTTCTGAAGCTATATTCAGCGAAAGTCTTTCTGTTGCGCTGCCTGCATGGGTATCTAGAAACACCTGTGATGTAATGTGTAATCCTCTAACAATTTTTTTGTTTTTATTCCGGTCACATGAGCCTGTAATCCGGATTTATTCTGACCAGCGTGGTCAAATTGAAATGCAATATTATGCATCGATGTTATAAAAAATGCATTTCCTTTGAAGTTTGTCTTAGCTTTTGCCTCGATATACAATCCTGAGGGCACATTCTATATGTAGAATATGTAGGGAATCGTTAGAGTACACTTTGCCAGACTATTTTGTTGTCTTCCCTCATCAATCAATGAAAACCATATCTGGAACTTGTTTTTGTCGCACAAAGGCAATTAATTATACATATTTGTTACTTTAAATCGCTACAAGCTGGCCCCTACATACTTTCCATGTTAGAATGAAATTAGTACTTACGTTTTTAAAGTAAGTTGGGGTTTGGTTACATCAAAGTCAATTCTAAGAACATTATATCGACAATTACCTACATTCCCATTGACATAGTCCCAGCATCAGTGGCTTCAAGGGCGTTTACAGTAACAAACGTTTACTAGGAGCAGACTGCTAAATTAAAAGGGAAGCATATTTTTTTTTCAAATCAGGAACCGTGTTGTTAGCCGACAATCCCAACGCATTAGGAGTTAGCGATATCTCCAAAGTATATGGCATGCTATGTAGTCGCTATTTTATGACACTAAGCAGTACATCGTGGCATTTGTAAGAACCTAGCATATTATCGAGGTTAAAGGGATTTTTAAGTATATATTATTTTAAAGTCAACGATGAATGCGATGGCCATCTACCATAGCTGATTATACCGTTCCGCGCCATTTGCTGGCTTCAAGGCATCATGAACCGAAACAAAATGATTGTTATTTATAGCACAGGTGGTGACGCAGCCTAAAAGTAAAAATCGTATCAAAACTGTTGTGTATACTGTTGAAATGTGAAGACAAAGAATAGGGTAAATCGGACACGATTCTCTCGCACGCGCAGGCAAGACCATGCAAGCAAGACCACGCCTTTGACAACCAATCTCGCCCGAAGCTATTGTTGAAGCTAGAATTATACTAGGAGCACGAAACATTCTCAAGTGGATTGAAGACTACCTTTCATATCGCTGCCAGTACGTAGCACTTAATGTGCACTCATCATTCAAAGGCAAAGTTTCATTGGGAGTCCGACAGGGATCAGTACTGGCACCTTTTCTGTTCCTAATATACATAAATGACTTGGTCAAAGATATGAACGTAAACATTCGTCTCCTTGCTGATGATTGCATACTTTATTAACAAATAAATAACCCAAACGACCAGATTAACCTAAATAATGTGCTTTAACACATAATAAATTGGTGCCATGATTGGCAGATTGAAATAAATTCGAATAAAACTGTATTCATGACCATAACCGATAAGAAACTATACTCCGTTCCTTACCAGATAGGCAATAACCTCTTAGAACAAGTAGCTGAATACAAATACCTCGGCCTCAACATCAGTCAAAATTTGCATTGGGACTCACACATTCACTTCACAACTAATAAAGCTTTAAACAAACTGAGTTTTCTTAAACGAGTTTTAAAATTTACATCTCCTGCCAATAAATTGTTAGCCTACAAAAATTTAATACGTCTTACGCTCGAGTAGGCCAACGTCGTCTGGTTTCCCCACACCGTCTCCGGCATCAATAAGACAGAAAGAATTCAGAGAATGGCACGAGGTTTATTTGCGTACATATAGAGGGTACGTCTCTCCCTCTGAACTTTGCAGGCAACTGGGTCTCTCCTCTCTAGAAAAAAGAGCGAAAATCGTTAGACTTAAATTTCTATACGAATTAGCCAACGATCAATTTAACCTAACAAAAAAAAATTATCTTATCCATACAAGCAAGCGTATAACACGGTACAACCATGGTAATCTTTACGAGGAAGACGTCGTTCATGATAACTGCTTCAAATTTCGTTTTTTTTCCCCGGTACATTAACGAATGAAACCACCTGCCTCAAAATGACGTTCATTCCTCTTCTACTGAAATGTTCCTTGATTACGTAGATGCTCACATTTCATCGTAAACTAATATTTTATGCTGTTTTTAAAAGTGCAATGTTTCTATTGTATTGAAGTTTGTACTAATTTTTCATTCTTGAGTTTTATATTTGCGTGGAATATTGACCTGAAAATTTAGAGTGTTGAATATTTTTTTCTGCTTGTAATATTTCAAACTGTACCACCCTACAATAACCCCGAAGGGGGTTAGTAGTATTGGAATTAAATAAATAAATAAAAATAATTAAATGCAGCTTAGAAAAGGGACTTGGCGGATTACGCAGAATGAGTAAAACAGAGTGTTTGTCCAAGGGAATGCATAAGCCGGTTAGTAACTACGCTAAAATTTACTACGGAAGTTCCCTAGGGGCGATCTTTACATTGACGAAATCTGGACCATTACCTTTCTGAAATTATGAAGCCCAAAGGCGCAGGCAAAGACATGAAGTAGACAAGTTAGCACTATCCTGTCTACTTCATGTCCTTGACTGTCCCATTGCACTTCTGGAATGAATCTTTGGAATGAACTTTCCTCGGTTAAAAGCAAAATAAGTATTTTTGTTTTGTTTTTTAAACCTCCAGAACACCCTACCTATGGCATCCATCGACCACGCTAACCTAAGCGACAGCATGGCCACACCAAACGTCTGATTGGCACAACGTTTGACAGATGGCGGCCAGGGTCCTCAAAGTGCGCCCGCCCGCATCTCCGCTATTTGTTGTTTATTTGTGTGTTTTTTTGGAATCGAGTTATTCTTTTTTTTTTCTTTTATTGACCGCTAAATATAATAACTTTTCAATCGCAACATTTCCACTAGCGTGTCTACATAGGTTTGCGACTGTCTTTGTTGATTCTCCGAACGTTGTTTCAGGAAATAAGTTCAGCTGCGACTGCCGCATAGCCTGGATGCTGCACCTGGAGAACGTGACGCGAAGTGACAAGTTCCGTCGGGAGCTCCGACACGTCAAGTGTGACTTCAGGACTCCCGGCAGTACGAACAGCAGCAAGGTGGCTCGTCTCACCATCAAGCAGCTGGGCTGTGCCGCAGACTACGACATACCGCGCGTTCACAAGGAGCATCTGGAACTGACGACAACCACTGAGCCGCCTTCTTTGGAGGACCACGACGAAGTAGTACACACTCACGACGAGGATAACGTCATTCACAAGGCATCGTCCGAGCATCCCCCCAAAAGTGTTGAAGATGAGGACATGGAAGAGGACATGCATCCAGTGAAGAATGACATCGACGTTCTTGTGAGTGATAAGAAGACAGTGCAGAAAGGGCCAGCGCCTTCTCCGAAGCCAAGCGGCAACTCTGGGACAATAGTGTTTCGCGGCCTCGTGTTGCAATTCGCGTGCGTAGCGGTGCTCTTGAACAGGGCGCTGGTGAAGTCATGGTAGATGGTTCCGTAAAAACCAACCTGCAAACATTTGCTCATTTGTGTGGTGTCCGTGGATGTGCCTTAATTGAAGACAATGGACAGCTGGATTCTGGAAAATAATTTAACCTATTGGCGAGTCATTTGGGGATACTATATATATATATTCGAATTCATAAAAGGATGAAACATCGAGGACGGGGACGGAAACAGGACTTCTTTCATTGAACAACAACATAGACAGGTACAAAATATAAAACCTCCCCGAAAGATTTCAACGTTCTTGAAGAAGGAAAGTCGAAAATTGTTAATTAAAAGAAACATTCACCATAAATTTTGAAGCTTAAGAAGCACTGGCGTCACGAAGAGGTCACAGTAATTTAGTTATCTGTGATATTAGGAATTCGACCTGTGTCATTGAGCGTGATAATGAAAGTGCAAAAATATTGTTTTAACAGACCCCAAGGGTCTGTCAAAACAATGTACTCTGAATGTAAAAGTTTAAGAAGCACTAGCGTCACAACGAAGTATCAGTAATCTAGTCAACTCTAGCGTTAGGAATTCGACCTCCGTCTTTATCAGTGATTATGAAGGCCCAGAAATGTTGTTGACAGTCCCCATGCCAAATGATTCAGTAATTTCTCTCCTAAACATGTTGCTGTGCACGCCCAGTATTATAGTATAAGATAAATAAGGAGTACAGTCATCGCACGTGTGGCTGAGGTCGACAATTGGAGGGAAATACTCATTTGAAGTCTTTCATGTTTCCAAGTTGTGTTCTCTGAGTTGAGAGTTAACGCATCTCCCAGTTTGTTCAATGTACTGACTGTCGCAGCTTAGTTGAATTAAACCTTTCATTCTTCGCACTTAACGAACTTTTTGGCATGTTTAACGTTGCATCCTCTGGGACTGTCGCTCTCATTTACCTTTTTATACCCCTGCTTAAGGCGCATATGACAGGAAAAAAACACACCCGCGTGGAACTTGGACGCGGTAGATCTTAACTGGTGCGCGGAATTGTGCATGTAGTTAATCAGAGCGAAACGACCTTTCTTATTGGCAACACCGTGCGGAAGTTGTGGCCTGAGAATGAATCTCTCAGGGGTAGAACGGAGTAGGTCCGCAAGGGTAGTGCGAAGTAGGTCTGTTGTCAACAACCACATTTCTGCACCTTCATAATCACTGACAAAGACATAGGTCGAATTCCTAACATCAGAGATGACTAGATTACTGATACCTCGTCGTGACGCCAGTGCTTATTAAACTTTTAAATTTATTTTGAATTTCCCTTTCCCTTAATAATTTTGTCATTTCCTTCTGAGAGAAAGTTAAAAGCTTTAAAGGGATGTTTTATATTCTGTTCCATTCTTTGTTGTTGCTCAACGAAAGAAGTCCTGTTTTCCGTCCCTGCAAACTTGTTTTATCTGTGCTCTTTCCTTTCAAGTTTCGTTCATAGAGATATATATGTAATACAACCTTATTCCTTGATTCATGCGTTAAAGTGATTTACTCTAAAACCCCAGCATTAATTAAGCTAATTGAAAGAGGATCTCCTTTAATTAGCTTAGGTAATCTGAAGGGCGGTTGTAGTTCGTACCGTGTCCAGAGGCAACGCAGTTTCCATGACCAATAAAGTACCAGCCTTTTCAAAGTGAGAAGGCGTGACTATTGGCCGCTCTACTGCTTGACGTTTTGATTAAGAGGAAACTAATGATTAAACTCCAGAGTACACTTTAGTGCATATTTTTTTTCCCGGGAGTTCTGAATCTGTGCTATATGTTATGAATAAGTTCTTATCATCCGAGTTTCACTAGCCGAACCTTTTATGACCAAATCAGGTCAGGGACATCATAAAACGACATGGTCGTAAGCCCCTAAAGGACACTAACCAGATTTGCATCAGATATTTTGTACCAAATACTTTTCAATTTGTGAAGCGGCCATATCGCTAAAGTGGGACTCGGTCACCAACAAACCTTTTAGTGTCACGTATTCCATCAGAGCGGGTTGAACAGTTGCGTAGTTATTTATACCCTGCTCTAAGGCACAATCGGCAAACACTGCAGGAGTGTTTGTTTTGTCAACAGTTTTCTTGTTAGCCTTGGAACCTTAAAGTCTTCATTTATGATTAATTAATGTGACCTTGTCCCCGAACGCTCGTTTACGCATTACATTAAAAGCAGCTGTATTACATTGCGTACTTTTCCGAAAGGGTAATTTACGCAAAGCCTTGAAGGCGTAATCTGTGGTAGCACAGGAAAAAAAGGATGAATCAAGACGATGTTCGCGTACAACCACGCACAACCGTATGGTAAAATAAAAATCTACTCTAGAGAAGTTCCTTCTAAAGTACTGTGACAAGAGGGTAAAATAGTTGTAAGCGCGCATGGAAGCAATTTATTCGTACACATGTTGTTTATGTGCGGCCCATTCATGGGCAAATTTGATGACCGTTTCAATTCCATTCTTGCAACAGTTTTTGTCATACTCTGTATAAATTAATAATGTAAAATGACAATGTACGAAGTGTAAGTGTATATTGAATGTTTATCTGAGGTATGGCTGTTTTGTATTCAAACATTGCAGAGCATTGAAAACAGGTAGACCTAAATTTATGCGTGACCATTGATTTGTTTTTGTTTATCCGTAAAATGTTTCGTAGTGCTGTCTGCTATATTATTATCCGTTTATGCTTTGTAACACTGCCATAAGGAACATACCGAAACATTGTCCTACTCATTCTAGATATTATGCAATGTGCTCTCTCATGTTGCGGAGTCTTTTCTGCGCTAAAAGTTTTTCTTTTTTGAAGAAATGTGATGTCTTTCTTTTTTCATACGCGGCCCTTGAGTGAGCCTACTGCAAAATATTGTAATTCGAACCCGTTCCAACTAAAACAAATGTAAATAGGTTTTATAAAAAAACAAAGTCTTGTCATAAAACTACGGTTTTCCCGATATTATTATGATTATGATTTGCCTTAGACTTCCGCCGTAATGAATAAAAGTAATCAAACTGCTTGTAACCGATTCATGTTTTGATGTTATTTCGTAATCATTTGATTGCTTGTAATACATAGCATTCGCAAGCGTAACGCGATGTACTTTTGGATGCAATAAATGTACTTTTAACTACTATTACTTTTCCAATACCACTCGCTCACCCCTCCCCCCCTCCCCCCTCCCTCTCTTTCTCTTTAACTCGGGAACCCCTCGGTTTCTGAGCAGAGGGGCGGGACGGGGGGAGAAACAACAGTTATATGTGCATTTAGTACATCCAAAAGTAATCACATTACTCTATCAAATGATTTACGACTCTGTCACCACAGTTCAAGATAAATGCCGCGACATGTCCAGGTATATAAGTGCTGCGATATGTCCCATGACGTGCATTTCTTACATCAGACACTTATGCAGTTTACATATGAGTGCTTTAACAGTAATCAAGCTAATAAATGTAAAACGCTTTTTATCTCGCGATTCGCATGGACTTTAGTTCAGCAGGGAGTCTTTTTTTTTTCGGTAAAACATTAAAAACAGCGGAAAGGCATGGACAACAACGAGAATCTGAAACACGTGTTCCCCGTCTCGATCTAGGTCTAGCTCAGGCAGGGCGTGGGGCGTCCCCATGTCAGGGCGCGTCCCGGATGCTATGCGAGACCGTGTTCCCTTGAGAACGGCTCTCTCTCGCCCTTCTTGGACAGACATGTACAAATTACTCAAGAAAGGTAGTTAAGTTACTGAGTATCGATGCCAGAACTAATTGGAGTAGAGTAGAAATTACGCATTGGTAATAGTAATTCAGTAAACTACTAACTACTGTAAAAAAGTAGCGAGTTACTTTGAAGTTACTTTCGGAGTTACTTTTTATATATGTGTGGTAGCAAAATGAACGGCAGTTTTGATCCATGAAAAATCCTGCGAGCCTAAAATAAAAGCAGTAATTTTATGGTTTGCGTTTTCACAAAAATAGTTTATTTGCTCGCAGAAGCAATTGAGTTTCAAAGTTCTTGATAAGAGAGTCTTCCCTTTTTTCCTTTTAAAGACGTCCCCAGCCAAGCTAAAAATACGTTCCACCGTGGCAAATCAAATAAAATCAAATCTGATTTCAGAAACAGGCTGAGCAGGGTCGGGTATGCGAGTGTCAGCATCTTTGGTGTCCATGACGAAATATGTGAAGTTCGTTTCGGCCCTAGAGGGTCTTTTATAACAGCCTCTCCTCTTTTTTTCTTTTTTCTTCGGAAAATTGAGATTGTTATGACTGGCCCCTCTTCATTCCCACGACGTTCGGAGAGTACGCTGAGCGAGTGCACCTGACCGTCAAGGGGTAAAGTCTCGCGCCACTACGATGAGATCATCCGGACGACTGCGCGTCTCGTTGCTAATGATACGCTACTAAAAAAAAAAAAGTTTTTTTTGATACGAAGTATGTTTCGCCGCTGACGTCGGGTCCAGCAAAAGGATCTCCCAAGGGTAACTCGCAATCCTCGCCGGTGACTACGGTATCTTGACATGCCTGGCGAATAAATCGTTCTCACCAAAGAGGAGGTCTCCCTGGCGTGGAAGTTCGAAAGGACGCGAAGGATTACGTGAACAAGCATCCTCGCTCGTACAGTTGCAGGTCGAAGCAGGAACGTGCTTGCTCAAATTAACGGATTATCCGTGTCTGGGTTTGTGCGCGGGGGAGTCCGGCTTTGCAAGAAGCATGCGCTGACGACGAGGCGACCATGGGAACACTCGCCCAGGTGCGAGGTCACTCCAGTGGCGTCTCTAGTGGAACCCCCAAACCGCTTGAGGTAGAACTCACTAAAAGCAAACAACACAAAAAAAAAAAAAATCGCGGGGTGGTTTTTCTTTTACGGTTGCAGCTGAAGGCGCGTCGCCTGCGTGCATTACCGGATTAGGTCAATACCTGACCAAGCATCTCTTCCTGCGTTCGTGCGCGCCGGTGTTATGTTTTGGCTGCTCGTCGCCACCTTGGCCCAAGGACGCCTGTGATGAAGTTTGTACGGCTGGCGAGTATACACCTTTCCAAAAAACACTCGACCCCAGGGGCAACAAACCGTTTTCGAGCCCAGTCACTGAGTTTGAGGCTAGACTCTCACCGGCGTCCCTGCTAACCCTAACCGAGTGGACTGTGATTTCAATAGGCGCAGCCTGCGTAGGCGCTGTTTCAAGCACTTCTGGCGGCTAAATTCTCGTCTTTTCCCGCTATATTTTGTGTTTCAGGGTACATGTATTTTCCCGAGGACATTGAGAAAGCATTGTACCACATTTAAAAAAACAAAAAAGAAAAAAAAAACTATAAACTATTTTCGTTGGGTACGCGCGCGACAGAACGAATGCGACTGGAATGTATAGTTCTGGTTATTTTTTTTTTCTAAGGATAAGTTTTGACGGTGCCGCGGGATTTGCCGCATGTGAAACGACAAAGCGCTTTGCTGACAAAAATAAATTGCAACAGAAGAGGGCCGAAAGGCATGCATTTTTCACGCTTACAAATAACGTGTTTACCGATGGACAGGACACGGACATACAATTGAGGAAGTGTAAACATTCGAACAATATATCGTACGTACCACACGATGCAGCTTTATCCGAAAATAATTTATTTGAGAAAGATCTCAAATAACACAGTCACAGTCGACGACAGTCACATCTTGACGATCGGACGGAATCCGAGATGACTTCGTTTTGGTGCACGTTTTGGGGAGAGCTTCCTTTTTTCACAACCGCACCAAGACAAAAGAACGAACGCGACTGACCCGTTTCTCACCCCAACCCGGACCACTATTTTTGGAGAGGACTGAGGATTCTACGCGGATTATCTCTGGGAGGGGGAAAACAATTAATGTTCGCAAAATCGCGTCGAGGGTCGTTCGACGTCCTTCACTTCCTTCGTTTCCCGTGAATGTCGAGCAGAAAAGCTTGAATGGCAGGCACTTACCAGCCTTATTTCTCATCATGGAAGCTAGCACAAAAAGGGTACGCAGCACGCATAAAAAAAATTAAGTGGAAACTTTCAAGAGGGCCGAGAAAACGTCGAATGCAAAACCGCAAAAACGTAGGTAGAGAGCCGCACTGAGCGGGTCTTCACAGTCCCAGAGAGTGGCAGAAACTTTCTAGCTGATAGAGGGCGCAAGAGTCGCACCAGCTGCATCAGCATCAGCAACATGGCGGCGGCCTAGGAGCGTTTTTTTGGAAAGGTGTATAAGTGCGTGGGAACGGAATGTGAGGGAGCCCCTCGTTCGGGAATGCCACTTCGTATACCGCCGTCTTATTTACTTCTGTGCTCAAAATTTTATGATGAGCAAAATTAGCAGTACATTTCGAAAGTAGTTAGTAATTTGAGTAGAGGTTACCTGAAAAAAGTAGTTAAATTAAACTACTAATTACCCAAATAAATTTGTAATTTAAAGCTACGAAGTTACTCGGTAAAGTAGTTAAACTACAGTAGTTCGAGTAGAGTAGTTCAACTACGTCAAGTCTGTTCTCGGGTGGCTTGCCACGGGCACACCCTTCGAGATATCGATATTTGGACGCGTCCGCGCCCTCCGGGGAGCGAACCTACCACCGACAACCCGGGCGCGTTCATTCCCAACACGTTTGCAAGTCCGGTTCTAAAGAACGGCCGGAGGCTCCCGGCGGGGAATGGCCTTGCTCCACGGAGCTCTATATAAGCCTCTTCCCCTATTGTGCTAGTGCCTACTGCGGCAGCGCGGAGTCTGATCGTTGATCCTGACCCGTTGAGGCAGCGCCGATACTTCGGACTTTATCGAGGGCAAGCGTGTTAGCCTTCCAAGTCAATAAACACGTCATTATACGGGTCCAAGGAACCTACTTTGTTTCTACGTGGTACCCCCTAAGGGGAAGCCCAGAAGGTAGACGAACAGCAGCGCATACTTTCAGCTGATTTTTGTTTGTGTTAACATCAAGTGTAAATACTACAACGCCAAACAAACAAACCAAGAGAAAAAGAAAACATAAAAAAGGCGCCACGTGCTTGTTAAGCCACCGTCACGCGCTGTTCCAGCGCATCTAAAACGCAACATTTCTATCTGACAGAGATAGTGATGGTGCATTGAAGCAGTTTGGCTTTAATCACACAATCTTCCGTGCTTCTATAATTTCTTGAGTCGGTTTATCGTTGTTCGCACTGTTAATGCTTAATGAGCACAATGCGCCATTTTTAATTGTTTTCTATTTTTTTCTTTGCGTTGCAGTATTCATATTTGATATTAGCTCAAATAAAATTTAGTTGTGAGTCAGCGCTGCGGTTCGTCCACCTTATCCTTTTCCTTATCCGTGTCTTTGCCCTGTTTTTTTCTATTATTTTTTACCATGAAATACTAACAAATCCAAATGTCAACGTTAGCTTTTTTTTCTCGAACGCTGTAGCCATTCGTTGACTTACAGCTTTAAGAACACGAGGTCAGACTTAATGGCTCCGAATGGTCAGACTTAATGGCTCCAAAAAACACACACATTGAACGCCTTACTACTCGAAGACTGCACATTCATCAAGACCGCAGGGAAGGCTCAGTGGTGACACTCTCCACACCGCACTTCCGATAAAACAATGTCGCAGTGCTAGATTTTCTGCGTAAGCTACCGGAACTCAGCACACAGCATAGGTTAGACGTAACTGCTGCGTGAGCGTCTAGCTGGGACTCTGGTTCATCAGTGAGAACTCCACTCTCCTGGGACTGCTGGCGCAGAACAAAGTCCAATCTGTTATTCCTTGCTGGCCTGCGGTAATTATTGAGAAAATCCAGCACTGCAGCCTTCTTTAACTGTGAAGAGGTTTTCTTGATACGCCAAATAACCCCTGGCTCCCGCTTGCAATTAGGTCCTTGTATCGACGTCCGTCCCCCATGTGAAGTGCCTTGTTCACAAACGGCCAGTGGCCCTAGGCGTTTTTTTTTTTCTTGTTTGCCGGTTTTAGGTTTAAGGCTTAATCCGACTTCACCGTTTTTCTTTCCTTTTTTTTTTTTTTTTTTTGCCTCTTTGCAACTTTTTACAC